TGTATGTCCAGAATCTTTTGTGAAATGTTATTTTTCATTATTTTCCAATATAAGCCACGAGCTAATTCCTACATATGGAAAATCAGTGAGCTATTAAGGTCCAATAAGTATCGAGTTGCCTACCTGAGAACAGGAAGACCTTGACCCCAGATGAAGGTCAGTACTGTCAAAGCTGACTATGAGCGGTTCTCCATCAGGAACCGTTGTTTCCGGCAGTTGGCACATCTTATATATAGGAGGGCAGCGGAAATAGTCTGTTGTAATATACACCTGCTTTATGGACATTAGAAATCAGGACATTGTCCAGTGCCAGGTTACCACCATAGCTTCTGAAGGAAACCCCGTTGCCCATGCTGTCCTCAATGTTACTATTGTTGATCGCCGCATGTCCTGTTATATCTCTGAGTAGAACACCATTACCGATGACATTCGTGATATTCAGGTTATCAAGCACAGGTGGGCTTCCACTAATCAATATGGCTGCCGTATCATTTGAATGTGTCCCGATGTTAGGAAGACCAGCAAATTCGATGTCCACATATTGGAGAGCACTTGTTCCTAGTACGGAGGAGTTAGTCGCCAGCTCTATACCAGACCAGTCCTTGGCAGTTTCGTTGGCAATCCCACGATAACCATAGTAACCTGATCACTGCAGCCATACGTCTTGACTGTGAACTGAAAAATTAAACATTATGACATGTATATTTTTATCAACTTAGGGAAACGGTATGTGAACAGAACTCGATGTTATTGTTCAGTTTATTTTGTATACAATTGACTCATTTTCACTTGGAAGTTGCTAGGTAATAGGAGACAAAACCATTGGAAGACCACAGAGGGACAGGCGGCATTGGTGGCAGCTATTTCAAACTTGTGTGTTTTTACCGACGACATATAGATGGTCAAGCAGGTACCGTGGAGAACGAAAAGCAAGTGGACGTGATAATACTGTTAATTAACACATGGTATGCAGAACATTGCAGAAAGGATAAAAAACAAAAGGGATTAATACGATTAATACACAACTCCAACAACTACAGCGGTAACATTGTAGTCCACTGGGAACAAAGACGAAAAACAGAGTAACAGTTTTGAAGAGCTAGGTTCAAACGTTCCAGATAAAATATCAAAACCCAAAGCCCTCGCAAGATCGACTCAAACCACAGCACCACTTGTGAAATGAACAAAAGGCAGTCTGTTTGAAGAAACTAATGCGCTCTCTTAATATGCCTATTGTGTTTTGCCTCTGAGAGCGCATTCAGAACAGCAGACTGGGAGATGATTCGCGGACTAACTGATCCGCCGACAAAATATGGCCGACCCCAATTAAACACGTCTGGTCGAATGGAGCCGAAATTTAATTACTCTGCTCCTGCAGGGACGATGCGTTGTTACTAACATCAGAAAGACAGACAATGACTGCATAATACTTTATCATTTTGGTTCCCATGCAAAGACATACCCAAGAACAGGGTTACCTAAAGCTAAGGTGAACAGGGCAGGCCTTTCTTAAGCAAGCTTGTTCCATGCCTGTACGGTATACATTACAGGAATATTACCTCAGTCTACCACTGAATATTTGCCACGAGAAACCAGTGTTGACGCCCCCTCTCCTGTTAACAACATCCTGGATCTGCCACTATACATATTATAACAGAGAGGTATTACATTACAACCCTTTACAAACTACCTGATAAAAATCAAATGGTCGACCTCTTACGTTCCACATCGGTATATAGCACTCATGCCTTTATTGTAAGTAATGTTTAAGAACGTACCAACACTTATCTGAAACCGACCAGAATGAGCGATAAGATCATGGCGCGAGTGAAATAGTCAAAATTCCATCATCGCATAACACAATATATAGTAGTAAAATAGAATTAAGTTATTTGTGTTATTTTCCATTCTAGCAGACTTTTGCCCACAGTTCACTTTTTGTCTTTTTCGGTATTAAGTTCTGTCTAACTGTCAAAGAAATTAAGTTTGTCTTACTTCCTCCGGTTTTCAGGGACGTATCAAACACTGCACAATGAGAACTTTTGCAATAATCACTTACGTACAAGAATGTGATGTTTTGATACCTGAATTTACATTATATTCTCTTCAATACATGTGCAAACTTTCTTGTTCGAAATAAAATGGAAAATAAACCACATTATATTCCATTCAATACATGTGCAAATTTTCATGTTCGAAATAAAATGGAAAATAAACCAAAAAATCTTTTCTGTGTTTAACAGTGAAAAAAGGCACCTTATTATTATTTTAATTTTTTCGTGATAGATCACTCTGAAATTCACCAAACAAAGAAACATCTCTAACACTGGCCTCATGCTATTACAAAAGATTAACACATTTGCAATATCATAGTTCTCAAAAGTAGTAAATACATGAATAAAAATAACAGGTAAGTAAGATACTCACAACAATTGTGTACACGGACCCCATCGTGAGGACAGTCCCAGAGGGAGCTCTCATGTCCATTGCATCTCACGTCGTTCAGAAGAATACTTCCAGTGCCACTGCCTCTGTTATATACTTTGGTATATAACTCTGTTGTTGAAGTAGTAGTAGGAGCTACCCCAGCCATTCTGACAAACGGTGCCAAAACTACCTGAAAGGAGAAAATAATACGTTCTCTTTAACAAACATTTGTGGAAAATGAATATTCAGCTAGTAGGAAGTCATTTGGGGGCTAACATTTCAAAACGATTATAGAATAACGTCTGTCTGTGGTCATGGGAGGGGAGGTAAGACTCCTGCATTTATAACTGATGTATTTGAATATGCGAGAGGGGGGAGTAATTTCATTTGTATATATATATTGTATATATTTTTTAAATAAAATATTTGACCAATTTTCCTCAGAAACAGGCTGAGCATTCGAGCTATTTAACTATTTTACAAGCGGTAGAAAAGGGCTTATGAAAGAAATAAAANGTAGTAAATACATGAATAAAAATAAGAGGTAAGTAAGATACTCACAACAATTGTGTACACGGACCCCATCGTGAGGACAGTCCCAGAGGGAGCTCTCATGTCCATTGCATCTCACGTCGTTCAGAAGAATACTTCCAGTGCCACTGCCTCTGTTATATACTTTGGTATATAACTCTGTTGTTGAAGTAGTAGTAGGAGCTACCCCAGCCATTCTGACAAACGGTGCCAAAACTACCTGAAAGGAGAAAATAATACGTTCTCTTTAACAAACATTTGTGGAAAATGAATATTCAGCTAGTAGGAAGTCATTTGGGGGCTAACATTTCAAAACGATTATAGAATAACGTCTGTCTGTGGTCATGGGAGGGGAGGTAAGACTCCTGCATTTATAACTGATGTATTTGAATATGCGAGAGGGGGGAGTAATTTCATTTGTATATATATATTGTATATATTTTCTAAATAAAATATTTGACCAATTTTCCTCAGAAACAGGCTGAGCATTCGAGCTATTTAATATGTCGCACATATCTTTTGAGCCCCTTGTAGGTCTAACAATAACTCGTATACTTTCTGGTTGCCACGGACCGTAAGTTTTGATTTTATGCGGATTGTGATTTTTTCTGTACCGATCATTTATTGTCGCAATAATACCATTACATTGTAAAAAGCTGATTATGATGTTAGCGAGTTCAGTAAATTCTTTTTATGAATATGTTCTACCATGTTCATTAATAAGATCATTAACTTGTATATATCCTTTGTCATACATCTCTTTATAGAACAGGGTCTCTTTATTTGCCCCCAGAGAGTTATTGTACTATAATGGGACTTTATTCAACTCGGTCAATTGTTCTTTTTTTTTTCAACAATTCCCGCCAAGCTAAAAAAACATCCTTCCAAAATAAATTCTGTGTGCCTGTTTGACAGAAGCGCGAATATTCACAACCACAGTTTAGCATCAAGTCTAATTTATATCTATGCAAAAGGATATTTTGCCAAATACCCTCCGTATTTATCAACCGTATGACCCAAGTTAATTTTAATGCCATTATTGAAGCTTCTACATTTATCATATTTAGTCCTCCATCTTTTATTTTATTTTTTTGCATAATATTGGTTGAAACATTTCGGAATGACCTCCCTGATTTACTCTTGAAGTAATATTTTTATAAAAAGTTTTAATGAAATTTGTTATGTTTGGACCGAAATTAAAAAGATAAGAACTCGATTTAGAAAGTTCCAAGATATCTATTTTTACCAACCTGTAGAACGGGGAATAATTTTTTCTGTAAATCTTCTTTCTTTCAAGGCTGAAAAAATATTTTGTGGGTTTTTCTCCCTCAGTTAACCATTTCTCGCGCGATCTAATAATACTACCTTTTTACCTAGCGCCTCTCATCTCAATTAAATGTTGTTTTTTTCTTTCTAATTCTATTTGAAGAAGGGTATCACAATTTTCAAAATCTTCTGTTAATTGTATTTCTTTCATAAGCCCTTTTCTACCGCTTGTAATTTTTTCTTCTTAAAACATGCATACGAAATTGTCGTTCCTCATTAACGTAAAAGCATAAGTTCTAGAACATCTGATCGTTTACCATACACTGCAATTCTTGGTCAGGAATGTTGTCAATATTTTCAAGATTATATATAGGACTGGAATATTCTTTTTTAAAAATCTCGTATGGATTCATTAATTTTTTCGACATAGTTCATGTCATATAGGAGGGAATTATTAAATTATCAAAGTCCTCTTCCTCGCTTAAAACTGTCAAATTTTACTTGAAGTTTAATTGGTGAGTGATCTGATCTATAACCAAGTAGGGTGCCACTTGAAACCAAATTTGGAAATAAGCCAAATATGGATAAAATGTACTCTTTATGTGGTTTACCAGCCAATATCAATGTTCGAAGGGAATAAAGTTTTCTCCCCCTCACGAAACATTACTCGACCCGTGCGTGCACTTGGATCCAACGTAAAGCATAAATTCAATTTTAGACTTTTTCACATATATCTAAGTAGCTGGGCAGTAGAAATCTTCGTTGTAATAGTTTGTTAGGTCTGAATTGGGAAAAACTAATTGCTTTGCAGGAAATGTAGACAGAGAAAATATTTTATTTTAGGAAAATTTCAAACATGTGCAGTTTTCCTATAAGATTTCATTCCGGCAACTTGGAGGTGAGAGTTTTGTTCCGTCATTTCGTAACAATGAAAACTTGAGTTGTTACACATCATCAACATTTTGTTCTGATAGATAACTTACAAAAAAAAAAGAAGAAAGAAAGAAAGAAAGAAAAAGAAAAAATAAAAATTCCAAAAACACAAAGACATTCTACACTGCAGATACCTTGGTATAGAAGTTCCAGGCGTCCATGATGATTTTCCGTAAAGTCCCCGGCCAATCGGGCACCATCAAACCAAACAGATGACTGGTTATCATCCCTTTCAACATTGGGTAGGTCTGCAGCCGTGAAAAGGATACGTTTGTCCGGTTGTCCCACTGCCAAAAGCCGTCCCTCAACGCGCACGCCGACAGCAGGGTCGAATTTAACGGTAACGCCAGGTTCTACATTCAGCGTTACCCCTGGAGGGACTGTGATGGAATTGTTGACGTGGAACGGTTAATCTGATAAACGTAGCGTCAAATCCTCAGTAGGCGAGGTGTCTATGATAGTATAAGCATTCGAAAGGGCCGAACGAGTCCCGAAAATTATGAACAAGGCAGCAAAGCTGTCAAATGTACAGACAAAAAGCAGGAAATAACTATGCACAAAATAGGCTACTGTCATTTCTGATGCAAAAGTACATTATGTTAAACTGCAAATTCAACATCAAATTTTAATTATGCTCAACAGGTAATACCAATGTAAGTAAAATGTGTAACAAGCATAAGGCTTCAGGCATATGGCAGTTCAAGTTCACACTTTGGAAATGTATAGCTTCCAGAAAAAGAAGCCAATTAGACTGCTTTTCCAACTCAGGCTGCATTTTAGTCCTGTATTTCTTTT